AAAAAAAAAAAAGAATAAGTGTTTATATAAAGTGACAAATGACAATAGACATATAACAAATTATGTTAATATAGCTAATTCATTTACCTATCGCAAAATAAAAAAAAAAATAAAAAAATAGCTAATTCATAATTTGAATTGTGATTACTGCTTAATTCATTATAATTCTTGAAAAAAAAAAAAAAATATGTGCATTTTGTCACAAATTTTGGCAATAGGTAAAACAAGAAGACGGCCTTAGCGTAGTGGAATACCAATGTAGAGTTTTCGAAATACAATGTGGTATTTTAAATTTTTAATAATCCTATGCTGAATTTTGAATCTTATATTTTATATATTAAATTTTGGTGCTGCGGGTAATTCGATATAAGCTTCTATCCATGCTTTTTAAAACTTTTAAAATTATCAAACACTTTGTCCACTTGAATATTCATAAAAATATTTTCTTAAACAAAAATAGTAATTTATTTTATTTGTTATCTATTTTTCATATGTGATATATCAAATCAATCAGATCTTTAACTTGACATCTATTATTGCATACATAAAAAATATATATTTACCTTTACAAAAAGTTTTTATCATCTAACCAGCCTTAATTAAAAATAATAAAAATATCATTGATTACATATAAGTTTTTCCATCAAAATTCTATAATATGATATGAGTTAGGAAAAAATATTATATAATATAAAAGGTTGATACAAATGTCATTTTAAATCAAATAATAAAATATAATTTTTAATAACCATTTAAAAAATTAAAATAATTTAAAAAGGTAAAAAATCAAAGGGGATCACTCTTGTGTGCTTCTCAAGAAGAATTTCAGGAGAAGAGATGAATACATCTGCTAACAATAAAAGCAAAACATCCATCAAAATTCAGTAAAAACAAAGTGAAATCTCAAAGGTAGACAGACATGTTCTCTTCTTCCTACATTCTAGCCAACATACTGTTCTGTCACATAACAAAATAAACAGCTCTTCAAAACTTCAGCTATATTATTACCAAACCAAAATGGCCAAGTGAGAAGAAAGAGACCACCCTTGAAGCTGCTCAGGCAACCGAAGCCATGTGATGGATCAAATCAACGACACGATTACTGCAATTAATATAATGACGGTTACAAGTGATGGCAAACGCACAAAAAATGTTCGGTTTTCATCATAAGTACAACAAGACTTTACCTGTAGCCCCATTCATTATCGTACCAAGACACAACTTTCACAAAATTGTCGTTGAGTGCAATTCCAGCCTTAGCGTCGAAAATGCTAGACCTATCAAGTAAAGTTTTTATATATATATATATATATATATATATATATATATTTTTAACATTTGCAAGATCTAAAACTCTGAAAAAACAAAAAAAATCACCTGCAGTCTCCAATAAAGTCTGTAGATACTACATCATCTTCAGTATATCCCAAGATCCCCTTCATTTTATTCTCAGATTCCTCTCTACGAAACAGAAAACGAAAGGGATTATATATACAGACACCTTCAAAAAACGAGAGAAAGAAAAACAAACAATCGAACAAAAGGATTTTACTTGATAGCAGCTTTGATTTCATCATATGAGGCTGCTTTTTCAAGCCTAGCGGTTAGGTCAACTACCGAAACATCAACAGTTGGGACACGAAAAGCCATTCCAGTTAGCTTTCCATTTAAGGCGGGAAGTACCTTCCCAACAGCCTGTAAGAACAAACGAAAAATGTGCCGATATTTAGAAGGAATTCCAAATTATAAATTAAAGATTAAGAAAAAAATAATCGAAGCGCGCTACCTTAGCAGCTCCAGTGCTACTGGGAATGATGTTGAACGAAGCAGCTCTTCCACTTCTCCAGTCCTTCATCGAAGGACCATCAACAGTCTTTTGTGTTGCTAAAAATGTGTCCCGATATTTAGAATGAAAATTAATTAAATAAAAACCAAATGAAAAATTCAAGTTTTGCAGCTAGCTACACTACTTACCAGTTATAGAATGTACAGTTGTCATCAGCCCCTCAACGATACCAAACCTATCATTAAGAACCTGCCAAGAAAAAAAAAAAAAAATGTTCGCCAGACTCATTGCATCTAAATTGACCTGAATAACTAACTGGATTAGTCACGAACAAACCTTAGCCAGTGGGGCTAAGCAATTTGTCGTGCAACTAGCATTAGAAACAATATTGATGTCCGGCTTATATTCCTTCTCGTTCACCCCAACAACAAACATTGGTGCATCTTTACTCGGCGCAGATATCACAACTTTCTTCGCACCTCCCTCAAGTTCAGACAGTTCAGCGAAAAACGATTTGGAAAAAAAAAAATAATAATCTCTATCTCTACTAACTTAAAAGTGTGAATGTTTTTGTAAAAATTTGGATAGACAAAATTACCCTTACTTTTTTAATTTTTTGATGGCTTAATTGTTATTTGTTAGGAGTCCATTTAATGAGAGACTAGAGAGTAGTAATTGTTTATTAATTATATAAACATTTCTTTTCATTTTATATTTTGGATAATTTTTATAATAACAATTTAATTTTTACTTATAATTTTTTTATAAGTTATTAATTACTTCGTAATTTTTAATGGCTTAACATTTTGCTAACTTTCTAATTTTCTCCAATAAATTTTGGGTGGAAAAATTCCTTACAAAAATAATTCACTTGCTTTTGTGTCAATCAAAACACGCGCGAATGAAAAATAAACGACTAAAGTGCAAAAGGCTTGTGAAACGCTTAACTAATACTAGCTTATCCACCCATACAACACACAAATTGTAATACCATAATTAAAATGATGTATTATTAAATAATATTTTATTATATTTTCATAATAACAATTTGATATTTAACTTATATTATTTGAAAGTTATTAATTACTTCTACACTTTAATTTATAAAATTATATATTGTTATTTTTTATATTTACTTGGAGCAGATAATACGCCTATGATTTATGAGCGCCATGAGTTCTTCATTTTAATGTCATTTTTCATTTTAATGTCATGTAATTGATATTTGAAATAGTTATTTATCTCTTTTAACATTTTTGTATTTATTTTCAACATAATGTTTTTCAAACTAATGCGTGAAAAGTGCACTAACATGTGGTATTTCATGTTAAATAATTATTTAAGAAACTAACTTCACACATATTTTTTATTTATATTTTCAATGTGTTACCCACTATGAGGTTCTAATCATATGTCACCATGTTAGATATTTAAGATTTATTTGGAGTATATAATAATTTTTCTTATTTTATTTTCTTAGTTTTTTTATATATGTATCTATATAAATATATTTAAAAATATACATAAATTATTATGTAAATTTAATTAAATTTTTATATTTTAATGAATTGTGTTTGAATAATAATTTTATACAACTATGATTTTTTTTTTATGTAGGTTGGCCAAATTAAATACATAAAATATTAATCATAAACTTGAAACATTAGAAATACTAAAACAATTAAAAGGGCATGGATCTATAGCATGTGTCCATTACATTACAAAATTATTTGCTTCTATATAAAAAGGTATCTTAATTTTTGTATAATGTCATATTTATAATTTAGTCATCCATATAAGACACTTATTTGACCAAATTAATTAGTCATAAAATTTTCAAATATAATGGCAATAATGGATTGTAAAATCATGAAGACATTAAATTATATATCAAATTAAAAAAAAAAAGAAAAAAAAAAACTTTCTAATTTTCTCCAAAAAAACTGTGGGTAGAAAAATTCCTTACAAAAAATATAGCAATACAGAAATTGGATATTCCTTTTATATAGATGTAAATTGTTGGTGTAGTATTAAAACTATGAATACCTTTTGTAGTTTGTAGTTTGTATTTTTTTTTTCATTAATATATCCCTTCCATATAGAATTAATTGGTGTATTATTCAGCAATTTACTTCACAAAATTTAATATGAAATAAACAAAATTGAGGGTAATGGTTGGTATTAACTGATGCAAACAAATGATGCACGAGAAGTAAATTGAAGAGAGACAGATAGACTCACATTTAATCAAACTTATTTCATCTAAAATTTTGTATGAATGACATGACATTTCTAATTTCCATTTTTAGGTCTCCACGTGGACAACTGTTAAATCATATTTCTCAATGAAGACACAAATAAATATTTTCTATAAAGAAAATCACACTTTACTATTACTTTTTCTGTAATAACCTTCATCATTTAATTTTTGTATTAAATAAAAGAATTTCATTCATATATTTATTTTTTACTTATCATTGCGTTAATATGCCAAAAGTCATTGTACTTTTGCAGTATGCAAATATTTTGTATCGAGTTCAATACTTATTTTGTACTCTTACATAAAAGTGAATATACCTAATTCAAATTGTTTATATTTGATGTTTACTAGGACATGGATTAAGATGATTAATTAAGTAACGAGTTAAAGACGATAGGTAAAAATTTTAAATTAAAATTGGAATATAAATGCTAATATATATAACACATTGTTCTATTAGTATTACAATAACTTGTTAGGCAAATTTTACCAGATTCATATTACTATATCATTTTCAATTAAAATTTAAAACTTCATGATTTTTGATTTTTGATAATGTGTTAGTGAAAATAAAATTATTCCACATTTATGTTAGTATTTGTGTACGTGTCTTCAATTTTTATTGAATTTTACTTGAAACATTTGTTTAATTAGCATTAAATTGATTGTCTTCAAACTTCCAAAATGAATATTTGTTGAGCTTTTTAGGCACGATTGGATATGAATCCAATCAATTTTGATCAATTTTGTTTGGCTAAAATTAGTTAAAATGAGTTAGTTTGAATAAAGTATAAAGAGTGGATGATTTTGAGTTTGGAATGAAATAATATCTAAAATATAATGATTAAAATTGAGGTGTTGTAAAAGTAGGAGAGAGATTATAGGAAATGATAGGTGATTAAAATTATGTTAGTAGATGAATAGTAAATAAAAATTGATGTGATGTATGAGAATGATTGTTTATGTTTATAATAAGTAGAAGTGTTAAGTTGAGTTTTCTTTTGAGTTAGATGATTGAATATGAAATAACTCAACCGATTATAACCGATTAAGACCGGTTATAACTCATATATAATTACGCCCTTAACAATTTCTTTCTCATAATTAGTATATATGTATGATTCTAGCAATTTTTTACTTATATATACTTATATTTAACTTAAAATGTATATCATAAATAATATATTTTTCTCAAATCAACATAAAACCATGCAAATTCAATTAGACAAATTATATGGTTCACGTGCGAAGCACGTGCACCTTACTAGTAATAAAAAATATATATATTTGATAAAACCTTTATGTGAGCAGCAGCTTTGTCCTGGTCAGTGAAAACCCCGGTTGACTCAACAACAAACTCAGCACCGAACTCACCCCATGGGATCTCCTCTGGATTCCTATGCACCATATTTAGGACATATTAATGGCATCATTCATCAACGTGTAATATTCCTCGTAAGGAATATTATCATATTAGTACCTGGCACCAAAGACAGTAACTGATTTGTCACCAAAGAGCAGAGTCTTTGAATCCTTAACCTTAAGCTCGTGTTTTTTCCACTGACCATGAACGCTATCGTACTTGAACATAAATGTCTGTGGTGGAAAGTGGAAAGAAATTCAAAACTTCTTAGTTTGCATCGAGACAAACAATCAACTGAAAAAAACATGGTAACTCAATGCAAGATTTTCCTTTACAAAAATAACGATATCCGTATTAAGGGATTATGGGAGGACAAAATAAAAATACCATGTAATTCGGTAGTAATGAATGGATCATTTACAGCAACAAGCTCCACGTCATTGCTTTGAAGGGCGACTCGGGCCACCAAACGGCCAATCCTTCCAAATCCTGAACATAATAACTAAATGAACAAAACTGAAAATGTGGAAATAGTATAGTAATGAAACACTTACCATTGATTCCGATTTTAATTTTGGCCATGGAAGATAAAGAGAGCAAAAAAGGACTGTAGTTGATGAGTATTGAGTAGTAAGAAAATGTACTGTGAATTTGTATTGCAACTTAGTGCACTTCTATTTATATACACTAGTTAAAAAAGGAATAAAAATTAAAATGGGAATTGGTCTACAATGTGTGTGGCTCAGGACCAGAGACTGACCTTATGTATAGGATCAACAGTTGACAGTTTTCCTGGGCACAACAGATCACCCATCTAACAATGTTTCTTTTTTAGTCTTTTTCTTTATTTATTTATTTTTTTATTCTGTGTATAGTGTAGAGTAATCGCAAAATTGTTTTTTGTTTTCATTGTTCTTATCCATCATCGTCTTGAAATAACATAATGTGCCTATTTGTGCTTAAACTATATTAACATAAAACTAATTTGATATGAATTAGGAAGTAAGCACGGGAACGACAAACATTTCTTACTACATCCCAATAATCTAGCCAAACAAAAAAAAAGATTCTAAAAATTGGATCATCGATGAAAAATAATTCAAGGCGCATAAATCATTTGTAAAACTACGCCAACAACCGCGAATTAAGCTGCAAAAGGTCCACAATCACTAACACAAGTAATGAGACTGCAAATTAACTAAGAGATATGCCCTGAAAACGGAAACAAATACTATGAAATTACAGAGTGGAGGTATTCAATGAATTTCATACCCTCGTCTCGGCACAGACAAAAATCTTAAATTAGAATGCTCCAAACAGACGGACCATTTACCGTTGGGAGTGTAAAAGAAATTTACCAAATATCTTTCATGGCACCCACTCGGTCAAGTCCTTCTGCTCGCCTGTCTCGTTCAAGCCTCATGAATTTCAACTCTGACAGGGATTGACACAAACCACTCATATTCTCGACCACTCCCAAGACTGGTAACCCGACCTTTTTGCAGAAACTCACTTCCTCCCAAACATCTATAAGGTAAACCTGCTGTGGAGTGGTGATTATGAGAGCACCGTATATTCTCGTCAGAAGTGCCAGGTGGCACGCCAACCACAAGAAAGTCAAGTTTTTCCCCCAATGCACATCCTCAAGGAATTGCTAGGGCAAATGCTAGTTGGGAAGAGAATGTACTCTTGCCAACTCCACCTTTGCCAGATAGAACCAGTATTTTGTGCTTTACTGTTGCTATTCTCTCAACAATGGAGATCAGATCTGCAAATAATAATACATGAGATGGAATCAATGTTTATAGTAATAACCACCAAGCACCGTTTCATAAAGCAAACATAAACTTAGGACACCAAAATCATTAAAAGATTTAAATTTTCCTTCTAACAAGAGAGGTAACTAAACACTAAAGTAACTAACCAAATTGAGCATTCACCCAGTGAATAATTACACAGCACTCATTAAGAGAAGCATCAGTGCATTTAAAAAGCCACTGAACTCAACATCAAATGTCACATTCTTAGTTGAACTACTATTTAATTGCTAAAAAAATACGTTGATGCTTGTGACAATGTATAGATATCGACTATATAAAAAAAGGACTCCCCCAAATCTATGGTTGGTTTAAAAAGCTTATATTATAATCTTTAGGAGCTGAAAAGCACTTGGAGTCTGTTTTTTTTTTTTCATATTAAATGCAATTAATGCAAAAACCTCTAATTGAGCAGGCAAGAAAGGTGAAGCTAGAGGCCACAAATGTCTGATTCAACTTCATCCAACCTATCTAGTTAAGTTGGAGCCAAATTTAGAAAGACCAATATAGAAAGCAATAAACTTTGTTGGTCGTAAAGCCAAACCAAGCTCCTAGTGTTCAACTCAATCAAGCTGAAACTTATTCGGCCGCTATAGATAGAGATGACAAAGCAAATGAAAACAAATAATAAAACATGAAAAGGGGACCTGGGTCGGGTCCTTTAGGACTTAGGAGCAGTACCACACGCCTCCTGGTTAGGGCGTCCTTCACAAGCATCAGATTTTCCAGCCGATTCAGATTGTGGTCCTGGTCTGGTCAATCTGAAACAAAAGAAACAAGCATATACACATACAAGAACTATAGTGTTCAGAAGATGAATACACATACGTTCATTGGCATCGTCGGCTACTTCCTCATAGGCTTTGTTTGTGGGTTCGCTGATGATGGGCTTGAGATTAACACCACCTTAAGCCCACATCACAGTTAGGCCCACAGAAGTCTCCTGCTTGAATGATGGACGATGGACCTCTGTATTTTTATCCATGCGTACGCTCGAGCTTTCACTTTCGGATCACCACCGACCATTTTCCGGCATACAATTGTTTCTTTTTCTACGGTGGCGGATCATAAGGCCTCCATCATCGACGGCAAGGCAGTCTCAAAAATAAAATAATCCGATCCGAAATCTCCAACGAAGTCCGCTGCGGCGCCGCCTGTCTGATATTTAAGGCAAGGTTCTCTCTTGTAACATTAAAAATAATGTGTGAAGATTCATTTCTTGTTTTGTAAAAGTTCAAATGGTACGATTGTGTTAAAAAATCCATCGAGTAGTTTGAATTTTAGGACTGTTGCCATGCTGCTAAAGAACACCTTGGATGGTGCTAAGAGAGTGATGACAGAACATTAGCTCTTATCTCTCTTTCATTTGTTTTTAGTAGTTCATTAGTGGTACTTCAGTGGACATTAATGTAATGGTAATTGTAAAAAGATGATCTTTTTTCCATTTTCTAGCAAAAGAAGGTTGTGTGTGTACACAAATGAGATATATATAGTCGAATGCATTGATCAAGCTTCCTCTGCAGAGCAAACTCTAAACAATTTTTGAGATTTCCCTTTTGCATGTAAATTATTCTCAGGCAACTCTAATGTAACTCAGACAAACGCCATTCAATACAGCGTGTTTCATCTAAAAAACAAACCAAGTGCTCGGAAGGTGGGATTGGTCCGTTCCTCATGCAACGTACATATATAACTTTAAAGTGTTGGAGGAATCCATATATAGCCATGGGTCTGCACATAACCTGC